ATTCCTAGCTCTAACAATTCCTTGGTTTTTAGGGTATATCCTATCAAGCAATCCCTAGGCCTGTAGGCTAAATCCTACAGCTACGGGTGATCCACATGGGTATAGGTATAGATTATACCCACTGACCTATGGGTAGATCAGATAAGATGTATCATATCTATTGATCATATATCAAGTCATCTATATAAAGAGGATGTAAGGATGAGCCTGAGCTAGAGGCAAGATAGAATAAAATTGAGTTAAACTAGCCAATATATAAGTCTTTGGGGGTTTAGAATTGACAGTACCTATGAGTAAAACCCATAACCATAGCCATAACTACTCATACTCATACCCACATCTGTGGGTATGGTGGCTGTGCAGGTATGTGTATGAATAAGGCTCTAAATACCCAGGGCTTTACTTATAGTATTGCCTAGATGAGGAAACCCTGTGACCATCCTTGGCAGGGGCGATAGTCTGGACTCTGATTTGATGCTTGCAAAAACCCAGTTAAAAGGACTTTCAGTGACTTTATCAGGAGATCTACTAGAGTTATCAGAGGACCTTTTAGATAATGCAACCACCAAAAAGCAATACATGATACTATATGAAATTAACTTCTACAATTGGGGACAAAGGAAGGCAGCAAACTCAATTTCAGGCAAGGAGTCTATAGAGAGCTTAGCTGACTTCAGATTCAGATCAGAGACCTAAAAAAACCCTATATACATAGCTTACATAACATTCCGACATACTGTTGTGTTCAGCCAAAATTTTGAACCTATTGAACATACCTAGTGTACCTCTGGCAACCTCAAGTGGACCCAGCATCAGCAAAACCCAATCGCCCTGACGGCGCCTGGCCGGCCTGTAGAAGCCTGTCGATCGTCTGGCATGCCTGACGGCCTGGCAACAGAATTAACGGCTTGACAGAATTCGACAGATTTCTTCCCATTGCCAAGGTGTGGACTTGGCCGGAGTAACGGGAGTTTGATGCCAACTTTCCAAGTCCAAACGTACATCAAAGATATGTGTAACATGGCAATACCGTAACACCCGTCACACTCCCTCGTTTTTCCCCTTTCACCACAATGACTTACCACCTCCAGGACCTCCCCCTCCTCCCTCAGACCTGCCGCCTGCCTCTGGCTTCGACTCCAGCGCCACACCACCACCACAGTATGAAGTCTAGCTCACTTCCATAGACAATGGTGCATGCACTTTCGACTGCCACCAAGGCCTCTGCCTGTTAGGTGCGCCATAAGTCTGTTTATGGCTTGGACTGACTGTTAGGGCTAGGGCTACCCACACGGCAACACTTGTTGAGCATAGGATGTTGCGTAGAATGTCCCGCCGACCGCAAGAGTGACACCCACTGAACCAGCTTGTCGTCATAATCAGTGGCGCTCCCGTTGCTCTCCCGGAGATTTTGGGTCTCATGTCAATAATGCCAAGGTTTGTCTTCGGTTTTTATTCTTAGCTTGGCTCATCCAGCACCTAGGCATGACCCAGATGCTGCTTGTTCGTGACTGTCTTCAGCCGTGCCAGTGGCAGCTTGGCTCCACCACCATTCTCAGCGGTGCATTGTAGCCCTTCCCTTTTGTCCACTTGCTGACAAACTGTAGAGTGTTCTGCACTGTCAGCGTAAAGCCAGGGCGCGGCATTGATCACCATGAGGGACAGCACACTGCTCTCGATCCGGTCAGTAAGTAGGTTCTGAGGGGGCTACAAAATACTGTGTTGTGTTAGTCATGTACTAGTACCGTTGAAAATATGAATCCATTCCTGTCATAACATTGTATTACTGAGGTTGAAGGTGCATTTTGAGCAAACCTGTAAGCTTTCTGTTGAGATTCTGTGGCAATTCTGTCGACAGAATTTTTTTTTGACGGTGGCTATGTCATAATGCCGCCAGTCTGATTCTGTTGGCCTGTCAGCCCTGTGATCGGCCTGTCAGCCCTGTTGCCAGGGCTGCCAGGCAGATTGAGTTTTGTTGATGAGCCTGTGTAGCTTCCTCATCTAAAGCTGCTGCTGAATTTTGGGAGACACCTCTGGGCTGTTTCTGCTTTCTCGCAGCCCATTTTGCTGCTTCTCCTGTTAATCCAGCTCTATATGTATCTATCCAGTGAAATGACCAATTGATAAAACATTTAAGTGAGGTAGCCTGCAGAAGAAGATGTAGGAGAATCACTTGTCACGGTTTGGGTCAGGCTGAGGGGCTGTGTACTTCCCTTCGCCTCTACAGGTCCTATCACGGCGGGCAATGTGAAGTCCTTTGGCTAAAGTGTCTCCATTGTCCCTTTCCACCTTATGGATGCTTTGTTAAGGCTTTGTTGGAGCTTTGTTACCTCTGTTCATTAAAAATATTTACAAAAGCAATAATAGCGGTAAAAGCAACTATATTGTGAGGCCACTGGCATCAAGAGTGTCGGAGCAAGATTTCACTCCAAAATATGAATATTAATTCCATAACTCATGAGACCATCTCCCACCAGCGGCCTGCTTTCCCGAGGCCCGCCTGACTATGATGGAGATATGGCGTATGCAACTGAGTGGTTGTTGCCATCGACTTGGTATTGCTGGAGGCAGCCATCATCCAGTGACAAGATTGCCCCGGCAGCCCAGCCGATCACTGGCCCGGACATGCTGGGCCCGGCAGGCCAAGCAGCGGGCCAGCGGGTTCAGGGCAGCCCACCTGAGGTTCAGGGCGGCCCGCACCCGTACCCGCGGAAGCCCCGTTCTCACATGATGTAGCCACTCAGTGCAAGTCCTCTGCCAGGCCAGGGCGGCGGGGCGGCCGGCCCGGCCTGATTTCAGGCTAGGCTTTATCGGCCTGGCACTGCCCCTCAACACTCCCGCCGGGTCGGGTTCATGGTGTAGTAACGACATCAGAACTGCCAGGGTAGGGCTGTATACGTAGACTCGGAGGGAATTGATGAGGATGCTTGTGTCATTGCAGCGCATGCGAGGACGAAGAGGGACTGCACTGTTGGCGGCCAAACTTCTTCCGTCATCAAGTTGCAAATCCAATAGAAAGGCTGCAAAATTGCGCTCCTCCTGCCGCCAAGCACATGTTTTGATGTAACTTCACCTGTAGGAAATCATAAATGCAGCCCCAGAGATCATGATGTGAACGCCGAATAGACGGGCAATTTGTTGGAAATCACCACCAATCCTACCAAAGTCGGTGTTGATGCCATAAAATTGGAAATGTTGGTAAAAACTGGAAACTCAAAGAAGGAAGTAAGTATTATTTTAGGCCATAGTACTTGTATGTATAAGTACTTAATATAGAGGCACCAAAGCGCAGTGGCAAGGGACGCCCAAGGGACACTGGGCAACTCTTTGCCAAAGGACTTAGAGTTGCCCGCCGTGTATGCAGCATCCATCCGATCTGCCCTGGAACCTAGCGGCTGCTTGATCCTCTCTCTAATCATCTTGACAACTCGTGTATAAAAGCCATACCTATAGGGTGTAGTTGCTAGGCTAATATCATCTATTCTCCAGGCTAAAACCCCCATCCTTTCATGCTTCTCAGACCCCTTCGTAGTTGGATGACCTGATACAGCCCAAGGCCGATGCTGACATCACTCTCTCAAACCTGACCCACTGGCACAATGAAGATGAAATTTGTTGGTGGGTTCTCACCTTTGAGAGCTATACTGCCATTCCTACAAACTTTTCATAATATGCCTATTCCTTATATATTTTTTGCCACCTTTGTTTGTTCCCAACTGTAGGCGACGTCATAAACAGGCCTCAGTTTACAAAGCATCACATTTGAGGTGTTGTATCTGATGACAGAAATCTCTCTACACTAGATAGTATTTATATCAGTACATTGCTTGTTCCAAGAAATCAATCTGAATGTTATTAATAGCTCTCTTTGCTAAATAATTTTACAGTATCACCGAATATGGAAAGTGGAGACAAAATACTAGTATGTGTCATATTTAAGCTCTAGTGCCATGGTTGCTACGACTGTAGAGTTGGGGTTCCTATTGTTTTTGGCTAGCTGGTCTTCTGCTGGCAATAATTTACTGGCGATCCACTGAGCACTGCGTAAGCCCGAAATTTAGACTAAATCCAGCCGACCCTGAACTACTGCGGGAGACTGATCCGATTTACGGCGCGCCGCTACTCCTTCCCCGAACAGCTAGTGAGCTTCCTTCTTCGGCCGCCTTAATGCACTCCGTGGCGACGGTCGCCCTCACGACACTAGTCCCGCTCGCCACTCCCGCCGTCGACATCGCCGAATTGCGCGCATCACGCGTGATGGGCGTGATCGGGGCACTTAGGCCAGGGACGCAGTGCGCCGACGCGCACCGCTGCCGCGAACACGGACATGGTGCATGATGAGAGTCGCGGCGTTAGTGCGGTGGCTGCGCGGTGGAGGGCGCGGATTATCCGGCGCCCGCGCGGATCGGCGTTGGCGGGGGACGCGGGTTGGCCAAGACGGATTTCCAAGACGGATGATGCGGTGCGATGTTTCTTCCGGACATGCACCGCGTTGGCCAATTGGCCGCTGAGGGGCGGGCGTAAAAGGGGCTGCCGCCGCCCGCCGCCGACAGTGGCGGACGCGAGCCAGGCGGGCCAATACTCCCACGTCGAAGGGCACACTCTAAAAACTCTGTCGCTCCCGTTGACCCCACCGGTGCTACCCGATGTCGCAATGGTGCATTTCTGTTAGGCGATCAAAAGCGAGTCATAATGCCGTGATTTGCATACATGACGGCTGTCTCTTTTTTTTTTCGCTCGCCCCTCCCCAGCGCTAACTCTTGGTCGTATATGGCCGCTATTGGCATACTAGGGGCGCATTATTTCAGCTCCACTGCATTCTGCGGATGCGATCGGTGGTGCTGTCTCTGTCTCTGTTAATGCATTGTCCACGATCAGTGGGTATTTCACCTGGCATGGGCGTAAGTGACACCTGGCTTTAATTAAAAGCCCTCGTTAACACGGACGAAGTGCCTCCTCCCCTTTAAAGCACCCCTCCCTTCCGCCCATCCACCCGTCCGATGGAGAGCCCCTCGCCGACGTACACCGAGTTCAGTGTCGGGAGCGTCCGGACGGACTACACTGACTCGAGCCAAGGGCTGCGCTCGCCGCTCGATGAGGCGTTTGACAGCGTGAAGCCTTTCTTCGCCCAGTATTACGTGCGTCGCTGCTGTCTAGCTGCTTGGCTTCCCCACTGACTTGGTGTAGAACCTGAAGAACGAGGGCGCGGGTGACTTTGCCCCAGCTCCCTCCTACGGTCCGGGCTTCCAGCGTAGCTTCAGTGGGTCGATGTATGGACACTACCAGGTGTGTTTGCTGACTCATCTTGACTCTATCGTCCTCTGACCGCAGCGGTAGCCCTACGAAAGCACACAGACTTCGAGCTCGCCGTGGCCTGCCCAGAACACCTTCCACGCACAGCAGCAACAGGCCCACTACTCCTCCTCGCTCCCCCACGCCCACCAATACCAGCACTCCTCCCATGGGCTCCACCACTCCGCCTCGATGCAGCACCTGTCAGCGCCACAGCCGTCTTCCCCCGTGATTGCGCGGGCGCACTCCCAGAGCGTGTCTTACCACCAACATGTGGACCCCCGCTTTGTCTTCCAAACCGCGCACCAAGGCTCGCCCATATCGTCTCCGCCGCGGAGCCCCAGCGTGGGTCCCCGCAGTGGGTCTCACTCGCCACTGCTTGTCGACAACATGCTGGGGCTGCACGCTGCGGGGCCGAGCACAGCAGCTACCTCTGTTGACGAGGGCAGCGACGCGGATGGAAGCGGCAGTGCGGAGGTTGACGGCGACAGCGAGTATGTTGACAACGGCAGCGACCGTGATTCGGACGGGGATTTCATTCCAGGTGGTAGCTCCCGCCGCCGCGCCCGTTATGCACCCTATGCGCCAACGTACCCTGGCCCTAGCTATCCCTACGACTATGCATACTCGGGAGGTGCGTTGCTTTTCTGATCGATTTAATTCTCAGGAGTTAACTGAAGTCTGTAGGCATGTCCGATCTCGGTTACTCCCCCACATCCCCGTATCCGCCAACCTCCCCGCTCGACGGGCCCGACATGCGGCGCACTAGGGCACGGCCGAGCAGCGGGCTGCCGCCTCCGATCCCGGTTCCGAACCTGACAAAGAAGAGCCGCGGACGGCGTGTGCCAACCGTTCAGACGCTGTCCGCCGGCGGGCGCGGTGCGGGGAAGAACGCTGTGGCGCGGATGTACACGTGTAAGGTGGCGGGCTGCGGGAAGTGCTTTGCCCGCGGGGAGCACCTGAAGCGGCACGTGCGCAGCATTCACACGCACGAAAAGCGTATGTCCCTCTGTTTTGGCTGTGTAGAATCGTCGCTGACTTTAATATAGCGCACCGCTGCCCGTACCCCGGTTGCGGGAAGGACTTCTCGCGGAACGACAACCTGGGGCAGCATATGCGCGTGCACAAAGATTTCGACGGCGCGCGCTGCTAGGTCCCCCGTCTACCCATCCCCCCCTTTCACCTTCGCTGTTCCACCGCTTCCCCTCGTTTGGCCTTTCCCTCTCATTTTGATCCATCGGAAGTTTAGCCCCTGTATAATAGCCCCCGACATATATAGTACATTACGTATCACCCTCATTGGAACTAGGTACCTTGGTTGTTGTACCTGTACTGATTATTGTTTTAGTTTACGGCGCATCGTGGAATTTGCATATTTTTTGTTGTTGTTGTGGGATGGTAGTGTGCGCTGAACTTGAATGTTTGCGGTTGTGATGCACATATAAGGTTCCGACTGCCCCATCAGGCTCTCCTGTTGCCGCTAGTTGGAGTGAGTTTTGGCTCGGCTCGGGTCAAGTTGACAACTTGAGCCAGACAACATAAGTAGCTGATAAATCTGAACAACCATGAAGAGTTTCTTTTGCTGTAAGGGCAACCCTGGAGACTCCGACGAAAGCCAAGCAGGGGAGGATCCAAAGAGAAGAATCTCGAAGGGTCCACCTGCTAGGTAGCTGAACTATATACTGTTGCATTTTATTCAATTTGAATGCCAAAAGTAGTATGATGATATTGAATATGAAAATATGAATTTGAATTACTTCCTAATTGGGAAGTTCTTGGCGCCTCCGGCGCCCAGAAATGTCACAATTGCTATTTTGGGAGAGGATTTTAAACAAAACAATGTGACATGTGAAAGAAATTTGAATTTTATACCTAGTGTGAATAAAATGCTACAGTACTATGCTCTTGATGTGCCAAGTGTGATTGTTGCTCCGAGCAGTATGTCTGTGCCATGTCACATGGCAAGGCCAGGTCCCAGGGGGATTGCCAGGGCAGGGTGGTGATATGCTTGATGGAGGCAGTGATGTGATCACTGGAATCGGAATTCCCCTGACAGTCCACTGTCCTATGCCTTGGGTATACACATGTGCTGATTTCTGGCCTTATGTCATGACTCATATCCGTGCATCTGTCATGTGCCACGGCCCGCGGACCGGTCACGGCTCGCCCTGGCCTGATCTGATCTGGTTGCTCCGGTGACCTTGTACTCTGTATGTCTTTTGCCTTGTTACTTATATCTCTTTATGTCCTTAGGCTTGTTACTTTCCATATGCACTCCATACATTGTACTTACTTATGGTCTTCCCTTTCTACTTACAATCAGTATTTAAACAGATAAGGTAGCTATGGTACTTTAGCTTGATTATAAACGTCACTTGCACTCCTCTTCTGTGCGGAACGACTCCGATCCTATTCCCTCGTCTCTGGTCCTTCAACCGGACTCACTCCGCTCGCGGGCCTTGGTCTGCTCCGACTCCGCTCCGGTCTGGTTGGTCTTGTGTTCTTTCATGTCAGGCAGCTACTGGCCCGTTAGTCATAGTAGAAACCCCCCTCTGTTCTGCACGGCACTTGACAACTTAGCACAATTTTGCATGACTTCTTCTTTTTCAAAGTTGAGCAGGGAGCCATTTATTTGGAGATACCATGGTTATAAATTGCTGTTTTATATTAATATAGATGCTTGTGTCATCATCATCTCAGTGGAACTTGAAGGGAAAACAACTGGACGGATTGAGCTCCAACACAAGGCTGCCGCTAATATGCCAGTGCCATCACCATCATCCCTCCAGCAGCTGTGTGGTAGCTGAATTTCATCCATGCTGATGCAATGATACATGGTCAAATTAATGGTCTTGGCTTGCTGCTGGCATGACAAGCTTTCAATCACTGTCAGCCAGATTTCGGAATTTTTCAGCGTGCTAAAACTCAGTGATTGTCTGAGGGGGAGAGGCCTTTGGTCCTTTGGAGGCGGAGGGTCCGGAGGGCCCTCTGGTGAGGGCTTCTGCCATTAGTCAAAACCGCTATAGGCCCTCCATGGGCCCTTTGATCACATCAACTCATCAAAGATAACTGATAACACATATTTTTTAAAAATTCTCTTTTTGCAGCGTTGCTCAATGAACTGTAGAGCATATAATACTCTTGAAAATAGAAAGCATCTACAGCATCTCAGCAACCAGGTAACTTAACTCAACCTGATATTGTAACATTTCTACATTTGAGGAGAGGCCCTCCTTGGCCCCTCTGATGGAGGGCCCTCCCCCCTCCGAGAGCCTCTGCCTCAGCCTAACCAAATGGAGGGGCCCTTCAGTGATCACTGGTAAAACTTTCCTGAAATGAATAGAGACTTTGCAATGAGCCAACGGGAGCCACCATATCCATGGATCCCTCAGCAAGATATCAAGTTGTTAAGTGCCGTGCAAGAACCGAAAGGAAGTAGCGGAAAGTCCGAAGCAGAACCGAGTGGCTATCACAACACTATATCGGAGTGAGCGACTACACACGTCTTGCAGGCCGAAAGCAAGTCTGAACAAATATGTGAACTCCAACGGATACGTTCGGAGAAGCCGAAGGGGTAAAGGCTTAGAACGAGGAGGGAGTCGGATGAGAGCGGAGAGCGAGGCAAGAAACGTTAATGACGAAACTGAAGTACAGGATCGTAGAGTACGAGTATTTATACTAAGTGGTAAACATAAGGCATATGACCTCACAGGGAGATCCGATGTGGTCCGCAGGATCTCCCTGCGGGTTAAGTGCAAAGGCATAGTAAGTAAGGGGAGCGAGAAGACATACACGAGGCAAAGGAAACAAGGCGAACACCTAAAGGATATAGGTAAACAAACCAAAGTCCAAATGGGTAAAGATCTGAGTTGATGGGCGGAGAGTCCGAACAGGTCTGAGAGAGCCTGCGTGCAGATTAACTGTTTGAAGGGAAACGCTCAGATACCTTCATCACGTAAAAACCCTGTTGCGCTCCAAGGATAACCCTCGGAGCGTCCGAAGATGCACGGGATATAACACAAGTGATCATTGTGCTCAATCAAATTTTTTTAAAAAAACTGCAGAAAAGGGGGATACCAGTATAACTTAAGGTTATAAGCCTAGACTCACATCAGAGCATGTTTACATTAGGTTATTATCTAGCTACCAGTATGACAATCATCTAATTTGATGTAGAATTGGTGGAGATATTGCTGCATCAATATCTGTAATGAATAATCATGAGATGATATATATATATTAATAACATTGTATTGTCAAGGATATTAGTCCACTCATACAGGTACCCTTTATAGTACTGAAATTATCCATATAAGTTATCAACTTAGTGAGATATCACTACATCAGGTGTATATCAGCAAATAATTGGCCAGTGCTGACACAGTTATTGAGCTGTGACCATAGGTCACTTAATAAAAGTTGTTTGTATAGTCAAAATGCACAACTTTGATTTTGTGACAATTTGTGACATTCTCCAATCATTCTGTTGTTGAACTGCGAAAATTTCCCTTTTGGGAACTATGTCACATTTGGGACCTCATATCACACTATGTAACAGAGTGTATGGACTTGGTAGGATATGTGGAAACTATAGGTGCTAGATTATCATCAAGTTACTAGCCTTTAGTATCAGCCGTGACACGGCTGACCTTGTACAATAGGTCAAGAAATGACTTAGAGCCTGGGGCCTCAGAAATATTGCAGTTTTATTGCCCCCTTTATTGCAGCATAGGGAGTTTTGAGACATCTCTTCTAATTAGAATGGGCACCCAAGCGTGCTGTCTATTCTAATTAGAAGGGATAATTGGGATTAACAGGTGCCATAACTTGTATCTTGTGCGTATGGCCTCAGCGGTAGTTGTCCTAACTGTCCTGGCGCATTTCCAATGTTCAGATGTCCAGTTCCTTGACAGTGTTTTAGAGTCGCCATTGATCGCAGGTCCAGGCCCCAATCAATTGAGTGTGTTTTCGCCGTTTAACCGTCCCTTGGCACTCTCGATCCTCCAGCATGATCCGAAACCACGTTCCAATGATGTCAGTTCTCGATACCAACAGAGATAGGGGTGTCCCTTATCTAGGAGAAGTCGACTTCGAGTCTCCACTGCGCGCCAAACCAAATATGCCTTTTAGAATATACTCCCGTTGGGTATTTTGCATAGAATTGGATAGATTCTAGCAAGAAAATGGGCTCTGCAAACTTTTCCTAGTCAAGATTTTGGAATCACTGAGAGCGATTTGATAGACTTTGACTGGTTCTGATGCAGATAACTCCCTAGTTGACCATTCGGGACTCATGTCAACCCTGAGACGTGTGCTGAGCAACAAAATTGACAAAATTAGTCGTTTCCTGGTCTGTCCCAGACTGCGGCTTATCACTGGCATGCACTATACTCGCTAAACCCAAAGTCTCGGCCCTCGCACACGCTAGCTTGACCCCGCGACGAATCACCGAGAAGAAGGCTGCCGAGCAGCTATATCTGGCTGACAATGCGCTTGCTGGCTTCAATGACTGGGCCACCAACACCACTGACGAATGCCCGCGAACATGTCCAGTTCGCATATCTAGCGGCTTGCGACAACCTAGGTAATCACCACGACACCGTGCATTGTGCGCATTACGCCGCACAACCGGCTTTTACTTTAATCGACGGTGATTCAATTCGCCCGTTGTTTCCCTCTCCTCCTTCTCTATCCTCTCGTACAGATGGGCTAGTACCCATTTTCCCCATTCACAACTCGATGCGCCTTCCGCGCACATGGCCACTTTACTCATCTCACTTACAGTACTCTGATTTACTTACCGCACCTTACAGACCATATATAAAACCCGCCATTGAGTTTTCTCAGAGGGGGTCATACAGTATACAGTCAAATTCTCACAGATGAGGCATTTTCTATATCTTTGTTACTATGCTTTCTGGAACTATATCAGAGATCTGACTAGAAAACTAAAGGAATTTTCTCAGGATGAGTAAAGCATAGGGACAAAATTTTTATGTGTAATGTGGCAAGTGGTGGATAGTAATGAAAAAAATCCAGCAACCAGGATAACCTCATGGGATGAAACTGCTTAGGTTAAAGCTCGGGGTATGCAACCTGAAAATATGCAGGTGTCTCCATAAAGTCAATTAGGGTTATGCACTGAACTCTGGGCCCCTGCTGTGAGCAGAATCTGAACAGTTTCTGTGTGGCCATACCATAGGGCAGCGTGGAGAGCTGTCCCAAACAAACCAGCAACCAAGTCAATCTGTGATCCTGCACTGATCAGAATGTGAACCATGTCTGTATTGCCCATAGATGCTGCAACATGAAGAACTGTCCCATAATCACCAGCAACCAAGTCAATCTGTGCCCCGGCATTGACCAGAATCTGAACAATGTCTGTGTGGCCCCCAGATGCAGCAGCATGGAGAGCTGTCCCATAATAACCAGCAACCAAGTTAATTTGTGCCCCTGCACTGATCAACATCTGAACAGTGTCTGTGTGGCCCATATATGCAGCAACCTGAAGGGCTGTCCCATTTTCACTGGAAATTAAGTCAATCTGTGCCTGTGCACTGATCAGCATCTGAACAATGTCTATATGGCCCTCAGATGCAGCAGCATGCAGCGCTGTCCCATGTTTACCAGAAGCCACGTCAATCTGTGCCCCTGCACTGATTAACATCTGAATGGTTTCTATGTGGCCCCAAGATGCAGCAGCATGGAGAGCTGTGCTATGTTCACTAGAAACTAAGTCAATCTGTGCCCCTGCGCTGATCAAAATCTGAACGACATCTGTGTGGCCCCTATATGCAGCAGCTTGGAGAGCTGTCCCATGATGACTAGCAATCAAGTCAATCTGTGCCCCTGCCCTGACCAGAATCTGAACAATGTCTGTATGGCCCTCAGATGCAGCAGCATGCAGTGCTGTCCCATGTTTACCAGAAACCATGTCAATCTGTGCCCCTGCACTGATTAGAATCTGAACAGTTTCTATGTGGCCCCCAGATGCAGCAGCATAGAGAGCTGTCCCATTTTCACCAGAAACTAAGTCAATCTGTGCCCCTGCACTGATCAGAATCTGAATGATGTCTATATGGCCCTCAGATGCAGCAGCATGCAGCGCTGTCCCAAATATACCAGCAACCAAGTCAATCTGTGCACCTGCACTGATTAGAATCTGAACAGTTTCTATGTCGCCCCCAGATGCAGCAGCATGGAGAGCTGTCCCAAATATACCAGCAACCAAGTCAATCTGTGCACCTGCACTGATTAGAATCCGAACAGTTTCTATGTGGCCCCCAGATGCAGCAGCATGGAGAGCTGTCCCATTTTCACCAGAAACTAAGTCAATCTGTGCACCTGCACTGATCAGAATCTGAATGATGTCTATGTGGCCCTCAGATGCAGCAGCATGCACCGCTGTCCCATGTTTACCAGAAACCATGTCAATATGTGCTCCTGCACTAATCAACATCTGAACAGTTTCTGTGTGGCCCCAAGATGCAGCAGCCTGGAGAGCTGTCCCATGATGACTAGCAATCAAGTCAATCTGTGCCCCTGCCCTGACCAGAATCTGAACAATCTCTGTGTGGCCCCTATATGCAGCAGCTTGGAGCGCTGTCCCATGATGACCAGCAACCAAGTCAATCTGTGCCCCTGCCCTGACCAGAATCTGAACAACATCTGTGTGGCCCCCAGATGCAGCAGCATGCAGTGCTGTCCCATGTTTACTAGAAACCACATCAATCTGTGCTCCTGATCTCATCAGAAGCTGAAGAGTCTGAGTTGCTCCTGTTGATGCAGCAGCCTGGAGAGCTGTTCCAAAGTTCCCAGCAATTTGATCAATTACTGGCTTCTCTGCCAATAAGAATTGAATAATATCTCTGTGATTATGGAGTGCAGCTGCATGCAGAACACCTAAGGATCCCCAACCCCACCCTATATAAACGGTGGACAAGGGGGGCGTGGCCACCGTTAATTAGCGCCCGTTATTGTAATATGTCCAGCACGCAATAAATACACGGAGCAATAGCTCCGGTTACCGTATCCGGTCCTGATCAACCGGACAATCAGCCATCTATCACAGGGTGACGTGCTGTCCGGCCAGCTGGCCGCATCAATCTCCCGCATCAACGGCCGGCCCACAGGCCCGTCTTGGAGAATAGCTCAGTTAAGGAACTTTATTACTTGTAAAAAAAAGAAGAAGGCAGCGTCTATTATATGTAATACAGGGTAATCTACTCCTCATTCTCTCGCTCTCTCAAAGCCCGGTACTCGCTCCTCGACATTCCAGCATCTGCTCGGACCTTCCTCGTTGTGCCCCCAGTTTTCCCATTCTCCAGCGCTTTCCGCTTCCGCGGCTTGGCCGAGGTATCATTCTCTGGCGCTTTCCGCTTCCGTGACTTGGCCGAGGCATTCGTGTCAACGAACACGAACACGTTAGGAGCCGGAGTGTCCCGGACAGCTGGTGAAGAGGTGGCGGGGATGATCCCAGTCGCTGTGGTCGCAGAAGGGGGACCGTTGTAAGAGAAGGGGTAGGGGTCCATTGACGGGGGCCCGTCTGTGGCCTTGGACACGTCGAAACCGAGCGGGCCCTGCCCAGACTGCGTCGCCGACTGAAACGCTGCCTGCACTGCATCCCAGTCAATCTCATCGCCATTGGGGACTTCGCTGCTGCCACCGAAGTAGAAAGGGGCATTGTCGCTGCCACCGAAGTCCAACTGGGCATTGTCGTCGTAGTTGAATTCGGGAAACGTGTTGCGGGAGCTGCCTTCAAAAGCAGGATTGGTGTGATAATCGTTTCGCAGGCCGGTGGGGGGCCGGAGCTCTTGCAGGCCTGGTGGCGAGCAGTGGTCCCAATCCGTAGGGAAGCGGGGGCACTGTTGTTGTTGGTGGGGTTGCTGGCCTTGTCGGCATTTCAGGCGTCGCCGTTGGTCCGGGAGGCGGAGGCGGAGGCGGAATCAGCAGAGGAGTCGGCAGGTGAAGTGGACGGGACAGCTTCCTGGGTCTTCCTTGGACCTCGAGCAACGCCTGCGTCTGACCTTCTCTTCCGCTGGGAAATAGACCCAGTAGAAGACTCCGCCCGCTTTGCGTTGAGCCGAGCCACCAGCGCCGCGTGATCGGTCTTGCTCATCTTCTTAATTCTTATCTCCCCCACATCGAGGAGGTAGCGAACTTGTCGGCACTTTTCCACGTTCCACAGAGCAGGACGTGTGGAGAGGTCGATGTTGGCGGGGACTCCGATAATCTCGAGGCTGTGGAGCTCTGAGAGGGCGAGCTCAAAGTTTCCCCAGGCCATCTCCAAGTCTTTGTTCTTCAATACCTCCCCTACAGGTATGTCAGTAAGGCTTCTCACGAGTGTCACGGATAAATACCTGTACTCTACCTGCGGGTAATTTAGGCTTCAAAACCAATACCTGCATTTGCAGCATCCGTGGGAAACGGGTACCTGTACTCACGGATACGGGTACCTGCACGGGTTATCCACGGGTATTTTGAATAAAATATTAGGATACTGAGGTATATTGACAATATTAAGAGCTTATATAGAATATAGTATCAAGTACTATACTGATATGAACACTACAGGGCATAAGAAGACTGTAGTGACTGGAATATATAGAAGATAATGAAAATTAAGATCTTCCAGAGTCATACCTGTACTCTTGGCATCCGTGGGAAACGGATACCTGTATCCGCGGATGTCAAACCTGCAGATGTTTTCCTGCAGGTACCTGTGCAAACATCCGCGGGTGTTGACACTCGTGCGGAGCTTTATATGTCAGAGACAGCGGAGGAATTAAGAAATACACCCACTGATTTGCTCATTGAACAACCGTGAAACATCCTTCCGGACGCTCCCAATATCGTTTCTTTGGGCCAGAGCTCGAATCCAAGCTCATACACCACATTTCAAACGCCCGCAGAATGTCGACAAAGGTGGTGGGCGTGCGGGAGTTGAAGAGGTTGGGGCATTGGCGGAAGAACTCCTTCGCGCCACCAGAGCCGTCGCCACACGGTCGGATGGGATCGTCTGGATGACCACGCGAGGCCAGGAATACGACACGGACCCCGGTCCGTTTGAAGAGCTCCACAATCTGCCAAAGATATGAGACGTTTTAAATGCCTAAGATGAGTTTCACGTACCTCTCTCAGGATACGCTGCAGTACAGCCCGCACATTGTTTTGCGCGCCTTTATTGGTTGCCCAAACCCCCCGCGCCGCTCAAGATCCCGCGAGTCTAATAGCTGCTTGATTACACGTTCCTCCTCATCGGAGTCCATGTTTGCGAGGTCAACTTCGCCGTCGTTAATGTCGTCTTGCAAGTCTTGCTGGAGCTCCTTGAGTGGAATCGCCTTTCCTAAACACAGGTCAGTATTCGGGGACTGCTGACCGGAAGCAACACACCTTTTCCCTTGGCCTTGAGAGACCGGTCATGAAGTACCGCACGGTAGAGACTTGGTCGGCGGCTAGTGCTGAACTGCGACTTGCCCATGAGCAAGTCACGAACGTAGCTCGGTTTCTTGTTGTGTTCCTTGGCGATGGTGGCAATGGTTTCTTCTCGGAGGAGGAAGAAGGCGTCCACTGCATCGTTGAACGCCTCACGCTTCTTCAGCTTCTCCTGCGAATGCGCTGCATCGGCGGCTTGAGCGACTGCAGACTTTTTTTGTCGCCCAGGCCGGGAACGAGATGGTTGTTTGGCCCGACCAGGGTTTCGAGCGGCAAAGGTCGAGGTGGCTGGGCCGGAGTCAGAGTCTGAGGAGTCAGACGTGGGCATGGAGGTGAGTGGGTGAGTAGACGAAGGTTGTTGATTGTTGATGGTCACACCACACCACACGTGAATGATGCCGCGCGTGGGGTGACGAGCACGTGTCAGTGTGACATGCACGTCTGAGGCGGGGGCGGCTGCACAACAGATCCATCAATATATGAACTATTTTAAGACCTTCTTAGACTAGTGGGACGGCGCGTGTTGCTTGAAACAAGGCCAGTTTCCACTATCACGCATGGTCCCACTGGTTTAAGAGGTCTTTTGTTCGAGTCCCACAGCGGTCCCTCTTTTTTTTTAGAAATCTTGTCAAGACATTTTGTTCCTCAACTGACTGGCACAACTGCACTCCACATATACCCTCCATAACATGAATATTAACTATAAAATACAAAAGTCCGCTAGTCCTTCTTGTTCACACCCCGTATCGCCTTCGCGACCCACTTCGATGCCTTCTCAGTGTCCCCAAACCTCAAGAAGTCCTCGTAGGTGTTGGACTTCTTCAATCTGGCGACTTCGAGATTGGCATCGCCCCTGGGTGTTCCTTAGTTATTTGCCGATACAGATGCCAACGCCACATACCTTTCGATGAAGAAGGCCACCGAGGACTTCCCAACGACAACAAAGCACTGATCTTCAACAGATCGGGGCTCTGGCAATACCGCGTCCGTTGAAGAAGAAGGGCCGGCTCGGGTTCTGACCGCTGGCGTAGGGGAAGCTGGCGGGGAGGAGAAGCTTGCCGTAGAGGGGGTTGCAGACAGGGTGGTGGGGGTCCGGGGAACGAAGCGGGTTGGAGTGGTGGGCACAAGTGGAGAAGAGCTTGGCAGCTCCCTCCATCCCTGCCGCCAGAGCTCCTCCGCCAAGCGCTTGACTGCGTCGTTATAATTGGTGCGACGGCAGTGGCCGTTCCCGCTGACGCCGTTGGTTACATGATGGGCTCGGGCCCTGCAATTCTATATAAATAGAATCAAACAGTAGAGGGTTTGAGGACGCACCACGAATTGAATATGCCTATCTCCAGGCCTTTCCACACCACATAGTAGCCGTCGGCAGAAGGATAGATGGCCGCGAAACGTGTGCTGATTGCCTGCTCCAGGGCACCGTATGCCGCCTTGTCCGCAGACGTCATGGCCGCAGGTAGAGCGGCCGCAAGATCCTGAAGATGCAAAGCCATGGCGGCAATCGATGGCAAGAGGTGCTTGTCACGTCACGAGGTCACACGCAGTGTCAAATCAGTTAGGGAACTTTAATAGACAAAATATTCAAAACAATATACAGAGTACACGCAACGGGCTATCTCAATGCTGGCTTTGGACAAAATCAGGTGCAATATAGTCAGCGTCCACGCCTGGGATGTCAATCTCCACCACCTCCTCTTTTATGTCCTCCAGATCCTCCTCGCCCTTGTCTGAATACTCCCTGTACACGCCCTCCTCCAGGCCATCATCATCGACTTCCGGCTCGCCTTCTGGGCAACAGAAGATACAGTCCCGTCCACCCCAACCTTCGATCGCGCCGCATTCGTAGCATCGTCCTGGATAGTAGTCGCAGAGTGGGACGAAGAACTCCTGCTCCCACCAGCGCCATGGGGGCAGCTGTAGGAGATCTTCGTTTGCCCCGAGTTCTTTGCAGCTGTGAAATTATTCAGTTAGACGCCATATCCTTGGAGAGCACTTACTCGTCCGGTATAATATACGTGCAATTGCGCAAGGCCTCTTCTTCTGACAGTTTTTCCATGAGCTGTCGAGACCGCGTTGGGTTGAGTTCTTCGACAAGACAGATTCTCCACCGACGAAGATCCTTGGCCCCCAATTTCTCCAGCGCCTCGCGTCGTTCAGCCGGCATTCCACGATAGACTCTAAGTTCTCCGGGGACTGGTGGGGATGGCGCACGGGGTGGAGCTGGTAGAGGTTGTCGCAGCCACGTGGGATATCGTGGGGGTGGTGTGTCTTCGAAATCCGTGTACTCGCTCATTGCCTTGTCGTCGTCCGAATTCG